ACCGCGAAAAATTTTGAAAATGAGGTTGTGTTTGTCCTGACCATACCGCAAAAATGAAATGATCGAGCATTTCATTAAATGGTCGCCTTTCGAGAAATGTATCGTTGTGTATTGATGAGATCATGATGTGTAAGGACCAGATCAATGATAATAAATCATCGAACGATAGTATAAATCAATGCGTGGCTACTTCATGAAATAGTCGAGCGGGTTAGATCAAATCGTAGAATATTTACAATGATCACCGATAGTCGTGAATAACGTTGAATTTCAAAGTGAAAATTCTAATAATTCGTTACCAAATGAGGAAAAAAGTTAGATTAAAAGGCTTTACGACATAAAATTATTCGAGTTCTCATGTACTATGCAAGTACCGATCAGTTCAGTTTCGAGTTCGGTACATGTTTCACAGGTTAGTACTTCACATTATCATTCATTTATTTGAAGTCAAAATGTGCCATCTAAAATATAAATCAAATTCAAGAGAATAACCAAATGAAAATGGTATTTACCATTTTGGATTAGTATTAACGATCCGTTCAAGAGAGTGTGGTTATCAGTTTGGTTATAAGATCCGTGACGTCATGAATCAGCTGTTATCTGTCATAGTTATCACCATAAAGTTGTGGTATTTACCCAACTCCGGAGTAGTTTTATATTTCTGGTTATTATTTGAAATGTGACCAGTTAGAATTTTGGCGGGTACTGGATAGTTTTGTTGTACTTCGGCTTCATTTTTGGGAAACTTGATACAGGCTGACTTCAGTTGTAGCATAAAGTAGAGCACCTTATTAGTTATACTTATTACTGTTGGGGACACTTTAAATCTAGTTCCTATGCTTAACAAAGTATCCTGTGTAGCCATATACCACAAGGATATCAAAATATGGCCATATTATCCTACTGAGTGGGGCCGTGGCAAATGCTTGTTCCGGAAGTTGTTGTATCCAGTATACAACTTCTTCCCGTTCAAGTGATTGTCCACGCGTTAAGGAATACCTCAGTACCGATTGCCGGGTGGCGGTACAACGGGCCACTTTAGGTCTATTTAACATCACTAACACGTAAAAAGAAGGTAGTAGACAAGCACCAGTCGACCGAGGCAGTTCCACCCGCTAGCTTTTCCCAGGGTGTCTTATATATGTCCGCATGTTTCCACACCTAAGCTATGCAGTCGGTTATCCTCCAAAACAAAGAAATTAATGATGATGGATCTCTCGAGCACTAAGAACTCCGGACGTAAACTCACTCCACTCTCGGAATGTCCGGGTGGAGGGTGGGCTCGAGGGAACAACATCGAAGATAAAATTTGTTTTTCGAACATCTGCGAGATTAACAGCAACATTGATGCTGTTCATCACTACCTGCAATCCAATCGTCCCGCCGTGCTTTTCTTGGCGGAGACAAAAATCTCAGAGTCTGCACCGATTAACCATCTCAACTTCTCAAACTACGAGGTGCACTCCAATCTGACAAAGAACGGGGGAGTTGTGGCTTTTGTCCGCAGCAGTCTTTCCTTATCCAGAGATGTTTCTTTGGAATCAGACCGGAAGAACATTCTGTGGCTTCGCCTCAACTCCAAAACATCACCCAAGTTTATTTGCTGCCTTTATCGCTCTCCCTCGGACCATAACTGGGATAACCTACTCGAATACCTCGCCGTCCAGATCGACTTCCTGAACATCAATGATCCCGCTTCAGATGTAGTTCTTCTCGGGGATTTCAATGCCCAAAACGAGCTTTGGTTGGGCTCAAACAAGACCGATGCAGCAGGTCGTGCAGTCGAAGCGTTCGCTCCTACCCAAGGGCTGACTCAGCTGGTGAAGATTCCTACTTTTTTCCCCGCGTCTCGTCACACGCCAGTAGCCTGCTGGATCTCTTTCTGACCACGCATCCTGCCCCTTACAGCACTGCTGTCCTGTCCCCCCCTCGGTAACTCAGACAACGGTGTTGTGGAGGTTAGGTTTCGGTCAAAACTCGCTGTGGCAGCAGAAACTCGTACAGGCCGCAAAACTTGGCATTATGGACATGCCGACTGGGAGGGACTCAGAGATTTCTCCTCTAGCTTTCCTTGGAAAGATTTCTGTTTCACTGACGCGGATGCCTCGGCTGTCTGTTGTTCGATAACCGAAATTATCCACGTCGGAATGGAGGAATACATCCCTCACACAGTGAAAGTGCATAGACCAGGGTCCAACGGCTGGTTTAACAAATCGTGTGACGCTACTCGCCAGCAGAAGATCAAGGCACACAGAACCTTCTTACAAAACCCTACTGTAGAGAGCAGACAAGCCGACGTTGAGTCCAGAAACAAATATAAAGCAGCGGTTCGCAATGCCAAAAACCAGCATGATATAAATGTTAGGCACAGGGTAATGTTGCAAGGCAATGGCAGTCGGTCTTTCTGGACTCTGGCCAAGCAGATTAAAAAGAACTTCTCACACAGTAGCCTTCCACCACTTACGTGTCAGGATGGAACTATTGTATTCAACTCAAAGGCCAAGGCTTAAGTGCTAGCCAAGATCTTTGCTGCCAACTCCACCATGGACCCCCCCCCCCCCCAACGCCTAAGTGCCGTCAATTCAAAGGGTTCCCTACACTATGCGGGAGGTAACATTCAGGCATAAGATCGTAAGACGAGTGCTCTTGTCGTTCGGCATCAACAAAGCTTCTGGTCCGGACTTGATTCCTGTCATTGTACTGAAGAGGTGTGCACCGGAGCTTGCTCCAGTTCTTTCGCGTCTCTTCCAGATATCTTATGAATCCGGCACCTTCCCAGAAAACTCATGTCCAATCCATCACAAAAACGGGATCTAACACCGACCCTTACAACTACAGGCCTATAGCTCTGCTTTCTGTTTTAACTAAGGTGATGGAGAGGTGCATAAATCGCGAGCTTCTGGACTACCTCGAACGTCACGGCTTGATTAGCGACAGGCAGTATGGTTTCCGGCACCAACGATCCACAGGGGACCTCCTAGCTTACGTCACTCAATTGTAGAGTAAACTCATCCAGTCTTATGGTGAGGCGCATGTCGTTGCTCTTGACATCACGAAAGCGTTCGATCAGCTGTGGCACGCTGCCCTGTTAAGCAAACTTCCATCCTATGGCCTCCCAGAAAAGCTTTGCAGATGGGTGGCTGACTTTATCTCTGGCCGCAAGATATCCGTCGTAATAGACGGGTTCTCCTCTTCATCCCACAACGTCAACGCGGGTGTTCCCCAGGGATCGGTCTTGGCTCCGACACTGTTTCTCTTACATATCAACGACCTCCTTACCTGCACGATCAACCCAATCCACACTCTACATGCAGGAATTCAGAGTGACAAGCCGATCTCTGCCGCTGGGTTGGAAAAAAGAAGACTAGCGATGACTTCCTCTCTGACAAGAGACCTGGAGGCTATCACTGCTTGGGGACGCAACAATCTGGTACAGTTCAATGCTTCCAAAATGCAGTACTGTACTTTGACGAACAAAAAGCGTCCCTGCGATCACCTGGTTTCGATGGATGGTCGAGTTCTGCCGAAGAGCCATTCATTTCGGCTGGTCGGAGTCCAGATCACCGAGGACCTGATCTGGCACTAACACATCTCGTCAATAGCTGCAGCTGCTGGAAAAAGCTAGGCTATTTGTTTACGGCCAAGAAGTACTTTTCTCCGAATGACCTTCTCACTCTATACAAGGCCCAGATAAGGCCGAGCCTCGAGTATTGCTCGCACGTTTGGGGTGCTGCCGCCCCGACTACATTATCCATGCTCGATACTGTCCAGAGGAGGGCGGTCCGACTGATCGATGACTCTTCTCTAACAGACAGTCTCGTGACTCTTTCGCACTGGCGGGCTGTCGGCGATCTGGCTCTTTTCTACCGTTACACCAACGGGCTTTGCTCCTCAGAGCTCTCTTCCATGATGCCGTGGCGCGATGTGCCTGTCAGACAGACCCGCCTAACTTTGGCGTCCCATCCTAACCGTGTCCAACTTCGTACATCCAGAACCGGCCGATACGACCGCTCCTTTGTCCCAAAGGTGTCGAGATTGTGGAACGATCTACGGGAAGAAGCTTTTCCCAGTTCTATCAACCTTAGGCAGTTCAAAAGTCGTATTAATAAAATTTCTTTGGGATCATCATAGCTGCCGCGGTGTTCCGGCATTTAGGCTTCTGCCTGCGCGGCTACTTCGATATAAAAAAATATATAAACTCACTGGACAATGTCCACCTGCATATGGTTTTGCTAATAATATTTTTCATCATTTCTTCTAAATCGATAGATGTTTTATTTGACATGCGGAAAAGTTTGGAGGATTTAAATTTATCTTAGCTACAAAGACATGGTTCCACCATTAAAATTTCGGGCGTCATATCTTTTATTTTCACGACCAACTTGTTTCAAAATGATAGATTTTCTCAAGTGATTTAACACCTGAACAATATCTTCTGGAAAAAAACGTTTCTCCCATTAATATTATAAAAGGTTTCTTTTTTGAAGTTTCCATACCACCGTTGTAGACGAAAAAGCACCGATTATTCAGTGATAATAAAAACAGTCACAAATTACGTATATACCCGCTTTTCTAAAATAAACAACTTGCAACAAAACCGCGGTTAAAACCGACGCGTTCAAGCGATTCGAGTAACTGACGTCATCACCACGTGTGTCATTTTAAACTATATTATAACCGCGAATACAGAAATTTTGGTTATGCGCTTGGATACGATTATTGTTTGTCTATTGAACTACTATGTAAAGCTCATCACATTTTTTATTTTATTTTCATGTCAAATATAGCAGGGTAGGGTGACCACGCGGGGTAACAACATATGTTGTGATATTTGATATGTGCAATTTAAGAATGTTTTAATATAATTATCTTAGTTCAATACCCCGAAGTTACTAGTTTTAATCAGAATGGTCATCGTTATAGCATATAGTGTAGCAGTATTAGTTTTGATATCAACGACGTCATGCATTTATCAGCTTATTCCACTTCAAATTATATACCCGCAATCGTTCCTCCTGACGTTTCCTATTTTGCACTACACCACTGGAGTATATTGGATTACTATAACCCATCAGAAATGTACCTTTTCCAACTATAAAATTTTTATGACAAACATTTCTGCTGTGCTAGCGAAGGCACGTCATCTAATAAACGACCTTAGCGAACAGTCAGACTTCGAAATGGCAGTTCAACATGGACGTAGCAATCGTATGCTAAACGTAAAATTGAAATATGATATGCTCAGTGACAAAGAAAATAGACCACTCAATAAAAATAGAATTATTTGTATGACATTATATACACAGTTAGGTATAGGTATGAGGAAATTGTGATTCATTTTTGAAGCGAAAAGGCTTGCAATGTTGTTGTATTTGCTTAATAATGTGTTGGACTACCCCGAAATCATATAGAATTTGTCCAGTCCAGGGGCATGCTTCTGAGGAGCTGTATTTGATTCCGAAGTGCTGCTTGTGCTTGTGAAGAATCAGATGAAGAAGTCAATCTTCCTCCCATCATATCCCACATATGTTCAATGGGCGACAGGACTGTAGAATTAGGAAGTTAAGAGAAGATGCTGATGCAAGCTCCAGCAATATGGGGATGGCCTTTATCCTTCCTGGATATATTGTTGTGCCCTCATACCACCTCTAATAAAAACTAAAGGTGACTACCATACCCACAGTATGGTGCGCGTGACCCTGTCTTTCGAACTTGCATAATTTGGAGCGCCATTACATGTCTCACTTCTGATTTACATGAGGGATAGTATCGCGATACAACGGTATATCCGGGAAATACTGGAATCTTACCCTACCACTTCTCCATTTAATAGCCATCTTTTGCAACCAGCTAATGCCCATCCCCATATTTCTAGAGTTGCAATAAACTGTGTCTATATTGCGGAAGTCAGTTTCCTACTTTGGTTTCCTAGATCTACAGACCTTTCAATGATTGAATATGTGTGAAATATGATGGGAAGAAGAGTAATCTCTTAACCTCATTCTCCACGAACACTAGCAGCTCATCGGCACCAAGCGCAGCTAGCTTGGTATGCGGTACCTATAAGTCACCACTGAAGCATGCTCTGGTGATAAGAGACAACGATACAGCAAATGTTTTAACTCCAAAATTCAATCGCGACTTCCTATTACTCATGTCTATACTCAAATCCAAATATTTTTACTGGGTGTTCCATTTTCTTTGCCACTGAGTATACTTTTGAGTAGAATAGAAATTTGTTGATGCTATAACACACACAAAAGCTTGCAAACAGAAAGGAAAAAGCGGCGCATTCTAATGAAACCCAATTACAGGAAAAATTGAGGACACTCCTCTTAGATTGGTATAGATATCGAAAAATAGTACTTAAAGAAAAAGGCAATGAAACTAAAGTAGCAAATAAATTATCACATTTGTCAAAGCAGACGTAATATTGACATGATTAGTCTCTGCTTCGTGATATATTGACTGCTGTAGCTGTTTGATTATTGTCCACACGACTACACTCTCCATTCTTAATAAGATCCAGATGAAAGCTGTCCGACTGATCGGTGACACTTTCTTAAGGAGTAGTTGCCAGAATTGTGCCCTATAATATTAACAACTACTTAAGGTTGGCAACAAGATCAATAAATCAACCAACTGTTAGAAATGTTACATTTTAAAACTTACTTCATTCAAATGCTGATATTCTGGTGAGATCCTCATCACTTACCTAGAACAATAAAGAATCTTTAAATATAAGAAACTTGAAAATGATGAAAATTGCTAGTATTTCACGTCTAAATGTATAACAGTAGTGGTTAGGTGATTTAATAGTGCTTTTCAAATTCGAGGTGATAAAATTTATGCATAAATATGATATTTTAGCATAAAGGTGATAGTTGAAAATTTCACGATGTTGGCCTGGCAAGATGATGGCTAAGGATGGCTGAAAAATGTTGATACAAGGACGAAAGGGTGAAAAATGTTGATATCAGCAGTAACAAGGAAACTTAAAAGGAACAACTGGGACAGAACTAATATAGAAATCTGGAGGTGACGTCAAAGTTTTGATACGCAAGTAGCTCAATCTCAGCGAGTAACACCGAGATCATAACCACGCATTGCGTTAAGCATAACCTCGATTTGACTGGATTAAAGTGATTTTTATCAACATCGCTCAACTTGGCTGCGGATCCACCTCATTGCCGGCCATCCAGGAAAATGCCCGAAATATTGTCATGGCTCGTACCATAATCATAAGATTTGAAACACAAATGCTCACTGAGTACCATGTTGTACCCTTCCAAAGAATTGACTGTTCAGCCATGACTGTATCGAATATATGGATTAACGTCAACCAATAAGCTACAGTTACAGCTAAAGGAAATGCGAATTTTATCCCTTAACACGTGAAGGCATTCGCATTACAAAATAGAAAATAGAATGCAGCTTGCATCAGCTGTCATCTGCTAAAGCTTTTCAGTTCCACGAATATCTAACTTATCTGTTCCCTGCTCGATTTACAATAAGGCATGGCCAGTAGATATGTATCTCATTTTTGCGATTTAGCCGACATATTTTACTTTTAAGTCCTATTTGCAAGTTGGTGATTTTGTAATTAGATCATCTCTGAAAATCGGATCGCTGGTGATAGGGTTACCAACAGAGCACAGAAATCCCATAGCTTCATTCAAATAGAGCTGGTCTGTTCTCAACAATACCGCTGAAAGAAATGAAGGATTCAGTTCATTCTGGCTCCTGAAAGCGAGTCCGACCATTACGATACTAGTGGTTGAATTTCAATTCCAGCGACTCAAACTGACTAACGATTTACAATGTAATAATGATGTGGAGTCTGGAGTATAGTCGGTATTTGGATAAATGTTATCAATTTATCGCAGAAGATGAAACCGGGAGAATAAATAAAAAACAAACGTAAGGATTAGGTGAATAAGTGTTTCCGACTCAAGTATGAACCCGAATTGCTCCAAAAATGTGTCCAACTTACGTACAATTGCCAAGAGTAAAACGGAAATTGAATAAAAGTGTGTAAGTTTCAGTTTTATATGCGTTTTTTTTTTGGGGGGCTTGAGTGTTAGTTGAGGAAAGATCTCTCCCTAGTAACAATGTAACAAATAACGCTTCTTGAAGAATGTTCCAGGTAGGATTTAACATTTGCTTGTAGCAACATCTGAACCAAACCACATATGTATGCCTAAAATGTCTCCTTATTTTACGACGTTTCGGTCCTTCTTGAAGGACAATTGTGTCAATGTGTTCACCGTTGGGACCGAAACGTAATGAAGGAAAATTTTAAACATACGTACATACGTAACAATCGTCCCGCCGTGCTTTTCTTGGCGGAGACAAAAATCTCAGAGACTGCACCGATTAACCATCTCAACTTCCCGAACTACGAGGTGCACTCCAATCTGAGAAAGAACGGGGGAGTTGTGGCTTTTGTCCGCAGCAGTCTTTCCTGCTCCAGGGATCTTTCTTTGGAATCAGACCGGAAGGACATTCTGTGGCTTCGCCTCAGCTCCAAAACATCACACAAATTTATTTGCTGCCTTTATCGCTCTCCCTCGAACCATAACTGGGATGACCTACTCGAATACCTAGCCGTCCAGATCGACTTCCTGAACATCAATCACCCCGCTACAAAGGTGGTTCTTCTCGGTGATTTCAATGCCCATAATGAGCTTTGGTTGGGCTCAAATAAGACGGATGCAGCAGGTCGTGCAGTCGAAGCGTTCGCTCTTACTCAAGGGCTGACCCAGCTGGTCACGAGCCCTACTTTTTTCCCCCGCGTCTCGTCACACGCCAGTAGCCTTCTGGATCTCTTTCTGACCACGCATCCTGCCCCTTACAGCACTGCTGTCCTGTCCCCCCTGGGTAACTCAGATCACGGTGTTGTGGAGCTTAGGTTTCGGTCAGAAGCCGCTGTGGCAGCAGAAACTCGCACAGACCGCAAAACTTGGCATTACGGACATGCCGACTGGGAGGGGCTCAGAGACTTCTTCTCTAGCTTTCCTTGGAGAGATGTCTGTTTCACTGACGCGGATGCGTCGACTGTCTGTTCTTCAATAACCGAAATTATCCACGTCGGAATGGAGGAATACATCCCTCACACAGTGTAAGTTCCTAAACCAGGGTCCAACGGCTGGTTCAACAAATCGTGTGACACTGCTCGCCAGCAGAAGATCAAGGACCACAGAACCTACTTACAAAACCCCACTGTAGAGAACAGACAAGCCGACGTCGAGTCCAGAAACAAATATAACGAAGCGGTTCGCAATGCCAAAAACCAGCATGATATAAAAGTTAGGCACAGGGTAATGTCGCAGCGCAATGGCAGTCGGTCTTTCTGGACGCTGGCCAAGCAGATTGAAAAGAACTTCAGTAGCCTTCCACCACTTACGTGTCAGGATGGAACTATTGTATTCGACTCGAAGGCCAAGGCGGAAGTGCTAGCCAAGATCTTTGCTGCCAACTCCACCATGGACGTCCCCACCAACGCCCAAGTGCCGTCAATTTAAAGGGTTCCCCACACTATGCGGGAGGTAACATTCAGGCATAAGACCGTAAGACGAGTGCTCTTGTCGCTCAACATCAACAAAGCTTCTGATCCGGACTTGATTCCTGCCATTGTACTGAAGAGATGTGCAGCGGAGCTTGCTCCAGTTCTTTCGCGTCTCTTCCAGATATCTTATGAATCCGGCACCTTCCCAAAAAACTGGAAATTTGCTCATGTACAGCCCATCCCAAAAAAAGGATCTAAAACCGACCCTTACAACTACAGGCCTATAGCTCTGCTTTCTGTCATAAGTAAAGTGATGGAGAGGTGCATAAATCGCGAGCTTCTGGACTACCTCGAACGTCACAGCTTGATTAGCGACAGGCAGTACGGTTTCCGGCACCAACGATCCACCGGGGACCTCCTAGCTTACGTCACGCAACTGTGGAGTAAACTCATCCAGTCTCATGGTGAGGCTCATGTCGTTGCTCTTGACATCACGAAAGCGTTCGATCAGCTGTGGCACGCTGCCCTCTTAAGCAAACTTCCATCCTATGGCCTCCCAGAAAA